TAGCTGAGCACGGGGACACCACAACCGAGGCACCATCCCCGGGGGGGGGGGGCAGCTCGTCCCCAGCGGGCGCTGGCCCCGTGTCCGCCCAGCCTGAGAGCAGGCAGTGAATGAGTAATAACGGATCCCCTCCGCCCGCATCGCGGCCGCCCTTTGCTCAGCTCAACCTTTGGGTGCCATCGGCGCGTCCCCTTGTGCCGGGTGACGCCGCGGGTCCGGTGTGGGAGGGATGCTCGCCATTGCTGAGCGCGTCCTAAGCTAAATCCCCGCAAGGAGCCCCTCACGCGCTGTGCCTGGGGGACACCAGCGCCAGCCCGGGTCTTGCGGGCAAAGGGGTGATGCGCGGATTGACGCCACAACTCGTTAAAGTTGTAAAGCAGGTACGCTTTTCATTCAGCGCTGAGACACACGGGGATAATTCCTCAAAGTCATGCGCGCCTCAGCGTTGTTTCCCTCTACATTTATCCTCTAAAGTTATACATATTCATAAGGTTGCACAACACGCCTATACATATTCATGTCCTATGCCCGCTTCGGATCACAATGAGCCACAAGCTCCTCTGCGCCTGCGCAGTGCCCCCTCTGGTCATGGGCAGGGGTCTCAAGATGAAGTAACTGAGTCTTCCTCCTCTGGGTAGGGGTCTTCAAGATGAAGTAAATGAGTCTTCCTCTTCTTGCACTTCACCTTTCAGTCTTCACATATGGCCTTAGGGTTTGGTCGGTATCCCAGCCATAAACCATCTGCTTCTCCCCCTTACCAGTAGATTCAGGCTTCTGCTTTTCCTTATCAATAGCTGCTTACCAATAGGACCAGGTGTCTGCTTTTCCTTATCAATAGCTGCTTACCAATAGGACCAAGTGTCTGCTTTTCCTTATCAATAGCTGCTTACCAATAGGACCAAGTGTCTGCTCTTCCTTATCAATAGCTGCTTATCAATAGGACCAAGTGTCTGCTTTTCCTTATCAATAGCTGCTTATCAATAGGACCAAGTGTCTGCTTTTCCTTATCAATAGCTGCTTATCAATAGGACCAAGTGTCTGCTTTTCCTTATCAATAGCTGCTTATTAATAGGATCAAGTGTCTGCTTTTCCTTATCAATAGCTGCTTATTAATAGGATCAAGTGTCTGCTTTTCCTTATCAATAGCTGCTTACCAATAGGACCAAGTGTCTGCTTTTCCTTATCAATAGCTGCTTATCAATAGGACCAAGTGTCTGCTTTTCCTTATCAATAGCTGCTTATTAATAGGATCAAGTGTCTGCTTTTCCTTATCAATAGCTGCTGATCAGTAGGATCAAGTGTCTGCTTTTCCTTATCAATAGCTGCTTATTAATAGGATCAAGTATCTGCTTTTCCTTATCAATAGCTGCTGATCAATAGGATCAAGTGTCTGCTTTTCCTTATCAATAGCTGCTTATCAATAGGACCAAGTGTCTGCTTTTCCTTATCAATAGCTGCTTATTAATAGGATCAAGTGTCTGCTTTTCCTTATCAATAGCTGCTGATCAATAGGATCAAGTGTCTGCTTTTCCTTATCAATAGCTGCTTATTAATAGGATCAAGTGTCTGTTTTTCCTTATCAATAGCTGCTGATCAATAGGATCAAGTGTCTGTTTTTCCTTATCAATAGCTGCTGATCAATAGGATCAAGTGTCTGTTTTTCCTTATCAATAGCTGCTTATCAATAGGACCAGGTGTCTGCTTTTGCTTATCAATAGGACCAGGTGCCTTTGTTCTGCTTAGCAGGCATTTACAACAGACAATACTTTTGTTGAAGCAAGCAAATTCCTCTAACCCGCTTGTACAACCCCCCTGTACATTGCTCAACTCTCAGCATCAGGGGCAGGAGGTTCCCGGGGGCAGCCCCTGCCCGGGGCGGCGCAGGGGGAGCGCTCCCGCTCCGGGGCCAGGCTGAAGGTCAGCGCGGGCCGGCCCCGCTCAGCACCTCCCGTTCCCCGCCCGCCTCCCGCCTTCAAAAGCGGCAGCGGGGGCTGGGTCCCGCAGCGCCATGGCCGCGGGGGAGTGCGGGATCTGCTACGAGGCGTTCTGGGGGGGCCGGGCCCCGCGGGAGCTCCCGTGCCGCCACTCGCTCTGCCTGCGCTGCCTGCGCCGGCTGCTGACCCGCGCCGCTGCCGCCGCCTTCGTCAGCTGCCCCTTCTGCAGGGCCGTGGCGCCGGTGCCCGAGGCTGCCGGCGCGATGCCGGCCCTGGGGACCCTGCCCGGGGACGAGGAGGAGGAGGAGGAGGAGGAGGAGGAAGGCAGCGCTTCCCCCCCGGCCCGCCCCGTGGCGGTGGAGGTGGCGTTCGCCGCCCACGGCCCCGTCTTCGCGGTGAGCGCGGCGGTTCCCCCCTGCGGCCCCGAGGCCCCGGGCGCCTTCGTGCTGGGGCTGCCGGGGCGGGGGCTGCTGCTGGACACGCAGCCGCCCCCCGCCTCCATGGAGAACCTGCGGCTCGGCTTCGCCGCCGGCATCCTCGTGCTCATCGTCTGCACCTTCTTCCTGCTCGTCTTCCTCAAGTAGGTCTGGACGGGGAGAGCGGCTCCCGCAGCCCCGCCGGGCAGCCAGGATGGACCCAGCGGGGGCTCAGGGGTGGCTCAGGCCGTGGAGGGCTCAGCACGCCCCGGGACCTCGGCTGCTCCGCACACAGGCCCCCGGCACCGCTGCTTCAGAGTTAACCTCTTGGCTTCACCCCGGCTCTGCCCCTGCCCTCGGGGTGTTCCCGACGGTCCCGGCTCGGCGGGAGGCGTGGACACTCCCGGAGGCTGGAACCCCCCCAAGCTGCGCCTCAGTTCATGTCCTCGGGCAGCGAGGACGGGGCAAAAGGGGACGGGAAGGGCTCCAAGTGCTGCTCTGGAACTGTTCACGGGCAGCTTAAAACCCCTTCCCCTGGGAAGAGCCCGGCGTGGTGCAGGCAGCAGCACGGAGGGGCAGAGCCCTGCAGGGATGTGGGGCATTAAACAGACACGGCCCCAGCACCGGCTCCTGTTGCTTTTCTGGGCATCCGGAGCAGGGGGAGTTCTGCTCCGAGAACAAGGCGGCCGCTTTGCCCTCTGCAGGCAGGGCAGGGGCTGGTTTGATAACGAGGGCCCGGGCAGGGAGAGGGGGATCCCCTCATCCCCCAGCCCTGGGACAACCCAGCACAGCCCCAGCGAGTCCCCCCTCCACCGAGCACCCACGTCCCAGCCACACCCCAGAACCTGAGAGCAGAAACAGCCCCTTCACATCCCCCTCCGCAGGGTCCGGCTCCTCCATCACCCCCAGAACCTGCTGTCCCCCTGGCAAGCACAGGGCTTGTCTCACCTTCACCCTTCCTGCACCTGAGGCGGGAACAGGGGCAGAGAACAAATGTGGGTTCGTTTAGGTCTGAGATTGAGCCCCAAAAAACCTGAGACTTACAGCATGGGGAAGGGGTTGGTACCTGCTGAGAAGGACTTGGGGCTGTTGGTCAATCAGAAGCTACCCATGACCCAGCTTCAGTGAGCACTTGAGGCTAGAACCTCCCCTGTGCTGGGCTGCACCCCCAGAGCATGAGCAGCAGCTCAGGGAGGGGATCCTGCCCCTCTGCTGTGCTCTGGGGAGACCCCTCCCTGCAGTCCTGATCCAGCTCTGGGGCAGCAGCACAAGAGGGACGTGGAGCTGTTGGAGAGAGGCCAGAGGAGGCCATGGAGATGCTGCGAGGGCTGGAGCAGCTCTGCTCTGGAGCCAGGCTGAGAGAGCTGGGCTGGGGCAGCCTGGAGAAGAGAAGGCTCCTGAAGGGGAGACCTTAGAGCAGCTCCAGTGCCTGAAGGGGCTGCAGGAAAGCTGGAGAGGGGCTTGGGACAAGGGGTGTAGGGACAGGCCAAGGGGAATGGCTTGAACCTGCCAGAGGGGAGACTGAGATGAGCTCTTAGGCAGAAGCTCTTCCCTGGGAGGGTGCTGAGGCGCTGGCACAGGGTGCCCAGAGAAGCTGTGGCTGCCCCATCCCTGGCAGTGTTCAAGGCCAGGTTGGCCACAGGGGCTTGGAGCAAGCTGCTCTAGTGGAAGGGGTCCCTGCCTGTGGCAGGGGTTGGAGCTGCATCTGTCCCTTCCAACGAAACCAGGCTGGGATCCTGGGATTCTATAAATATGTCCTACAAGAGACAAGTTTCACATCTTAACCTCTGTCTCCAGCCCTGGTCATAGCAGAGCTGGGATGAGCCACAACCCCGCTTGAGGGGGTCCCTCCATGCCTCCACCCAACCAGCTCAGGAGAGAACAAAACCCCTGTGAGATGCTCAAGTCCCTCTTTCCTACACCTTGACGAGAACCAGAGCACTATGCATTGATCACGACCATTGTTGGTACTTACGCTTTTCACACCAACACAGCCAATGTCCCACCAGGACCTTCTCACCTTTCCCAGGAGAGGGACACAAGAACAACCCCAGACCAGATTCCTGTATCAAATCCTGTATCCTGTATCATCCTGATGCGAGGCAGAGGTCAGTCAGTGCTCAGGTGCCTGGCACCCAATGACCCCAGACTGAACTAAAACCCAGGCAAGCAAAAAAAAACCCCAAACCAACCAGGTTTAATTGCACTTTATTTTTCAAGAAGTGAATGCAAATCCCTCGGGTTGGAAACTGTAACAGGAAACAAGTGGAATTGCTTAGGATTGGCCACAACCTCCATTAGGACACTGCCACCTCCAGGGGGTCCAGGGGCTTCTCAGCCCAGGCCAAGGGGGGCCCCAGAGCATCCAGATCTCACACCCATCACTTAATAACTGGGTCATGCAATGACTTCCAGAGTGGCTCCCAGGAGCCCCAGCTGAGGTCACCCTGTGAGGTATCCAACCTGCTGCCACACCAACCTCGTCTCACAGCCTTTGGTCTCTTTCAGTTTTAGCTGCATTTGGCCACTTGCTGCTCTGAGCGTGCAGCACAGGGACCTGCCACATTCCCAAGCCATGGCTGCCAGGAGGCCAAAGACCAAATCCCTTCCACACTGATAAAAGGCAGTTTTAAACTAAACTATAGCAGGATTAGTTGAAGCGCTTCCATTTTATTAAGGGAAGGGGGTTACTTGTTCTAAAGACACAAAGACCTGCTCCCAGTTTTAACCTGTGTTAGTACCAATGAGCACAGAAGTAAAAGTGCTACGAGGAACCCGATGTGGTGGCCCTGGTGCCTGTGCTCTCTGCCTTCCCCTCTTGGTCCACTTAAACTGAACAGTTACAGCCCAAGCTCTCAGCAGAGCTCAGGTTTGAACTCGTGGTGTGATCATCACACTTCAAAGAGCAGCAGAGGAAAAGGCACAGGAGATGAGCCTGGCTCTCTCTGGACATGCAGCACGTTACCCACCTGTGTTGCTGCCTCCACTGCCAGTGGAACACAAGGCAGCAAACCCCAAAACCTCACCTCTAGCTGCAAACAGAGAGGAAAGGAGGTGGCTCAGGGCCCTCCACAGAACATGGCTGGGGATTTGGCTTCTTGCAATAGCAACTAGTAGATGCTACATCTGTGCTTGGGGCATTGGTGTAACAGAGCCCTGACCCATCACACAAACAGGGGCCCCTGTCCCTGCCTAGAGCTGTGGGTCTGAGCCCCATGTACCACAGCAGTGAACATGTGACAGCAGTGGGGTCTCTCAGCTCAATCTCCCACCCCACAGTGCTCATAGATGGTGATGGGATGCTGTAGAGTCCCTGGGAACTATTTCCAGGAGACCCTGACTGGGGAAGCAGACAAGACTTCAGTCTGTTTCTTTTTAAAAGTAGTTCCTACTACAGGTCCTGCCAGGCTTGGTTTTCTGAAGCACTTTACAGAGTTGGTATTTGCATCAGGTGTCAGATTAATGAATCAACTGTTCACAGGAGGAGAACAATACAAACATGTAGAGACTGGTTCCTTCAGCTCCTCCCAACTCCTGCTAGAGTTTGTCAGGTCAGAATGATGGGTCTGAGTGCCTGGGGGTGCCAAATTGCTACTTGCCCTCAGGCCCCATCAGTCTGCAGTACCAGAGCCTGGGAAGTCCCTGGCTGTTCACAACTGTCCCATGTATGCAGCTCACTAAGTGCTCAGTGCAGAGGAAGAGGCCATGCTCAGAGGAGAGGGCTCTCAGGCTCACCAGCACATCTTCATCCCAGCCAGTCCAGATCATCATCGTCGTCATCACCAAAGAGTGGAGCTGGAGGGGGACGCCCCTTCATGCTCTGGAAATCAAAGCAGAGGGGAACTTGTCAGTCTTAACAGTTTCCCAATAGTAATTGCTATGCAGTTCTGGCTCTGAACCCTCCATCACCTTTAAGGAGATGGTACCAAGAAACCTGAATAGTGAAGCTTTTGCATTTCTCATATGATGTTTTAATATTCCAGGAGAGATGTTCTCAGGGTAACAAGGACACAAGGCACTAAAACCCCTCCCTTAACCCGGGAGGCCTCACTAACTTCATGCCAGCAGGAGCTGGTCATTGCTATCTCAGGCCAGGCAATGCCTTGAACCTCAACAACCAAAACACCCACATATTCTTGAGACAGAGGATGTAGGGGAAGTGCTGAGCTCTGCTGCAGGAGCCTGTGAGACCCCACTGCCACAGGGAGGATTCCACAGACAAGCTCCAGTTAAAACCTGCACCAGTTCAGTGGGAGCAGAAAGATACAAATACACACCACTTCCTCCTCATCCTCCTCTTCAGAGAGCACTCGAGGCTTCAGCGGTTTCTGAGATGCTGTTTCAAAGAAGTTGTCATCCTCAAAGAGGCTGGAAGAAAAGAATGAACAGTTCACTTGCAGATGACAGTATCTTGGCTTGACAAATTCTGTTAATGAATGAAGAAAGAGCTTTATTGCTCAGGCAAACTTAAAGCACGCACCATTCACCAGGGCAGATGACACTGGGACCTGGTAGCACCAAAACCAGCTTCAGCCCCTTCTGCAGTGTGCCGCTCTACAGCGGAGCGGCTGCACAAGCCTCTCTGTGTGCTGCTGTACCAGCCCGAGCTGCCCAGCAGCAAAGTGGGACTGTGGCTACTCCAGGAGTCACATCTTACCTGCACTCCTTCTGCCTGGGGCTGGAGTCCAGCTCCTGCTGCCCTGGGGTTTCTCTGATGACAGCTGAGCTCAGCTCTGCTGTGTTGGATGCTGAAGCAGGCTCCTCAGAGGTGGCTCCATCCAATGGGTCTGTGCAGTTCCCTCCTTCACCGTTTAAGGGCAGGGGCTCTAAACCTCCCACAGGCTCCTCTGCCTTCTGCTCCACCGCTGGCTTTCCTGGAAGCACTGCCACATCTGCTTCTTCCGGCTTGGCCTCTAGAACAGAGGGTTCTGCAGCTTCTGCCTGCAAAGATACTCTGGAGGGACTGCGTTCAGTCTCAGCTTTCCTGATGGGACTGCTCTCCTGTCCTTGCTCAGCTGGGACAAAGTCCTCATCCACCTCAGGAACAGGCTGTCCTGCAAGCACAGGCCCCTTATCAGGATCCAGGTGGGATTCTGCTGTGGAAGAGAGATGCTCCCCCTGGATCTTCTCTTCTGACACCCCCCTGCTCTGTGTCACCGGCTCCTCCTCAGAAGTTGTGGGCCGGGCAGGCAGAAGAGCAGGCTCGCTTTCCTGGCCAGGCACCACAGAGCCTGTGGCTGCTTCCTCAGGATCAGCTGGGAATGTGGCACTCTGTGCTGGGCTATGCTGCACGGGCTCATCGTGGTCAGGCTTTGCTCCAGGTGATCCCTCCTGTCTCACTGCTCCTGGTTCAGATTCCTCCTTTTCACTGTCCTGATCTGGTTTCTCCTGCTGCCTATTGAGTAGCTGCAGTGTTACAGTCTGAAAAATGTGAGTAGAGAGAACACAGGTTATAACCTGAACATAAACCATCACAGAGCCCTGTCTCTTCTACTACTGGGCTGCTTTGCCACCCACAGATTTCTGCTTGTTATTTCAACCCTGCAACATACATTTGTGGATATAGCCTAAGATTTGTTCTCTCTTGTTGATCACCTTGTGCTTCTTAGCACTGGTGTACCTTAATAGTGTTCATGACAACACCCAGAACTGTCCTGCCACTGTATGTCTCCTCCAGCTCAAATTCACCCCGAAGAGATTGAAACACCCCATTCATTATCTTCTTTACCTGGAAAAGAGCAAGACAGGAAACAAAGATACAATTCATTAACATGTGAAGCACTGGCCTCAACAGCAGATCCTTCTCCAGGTGAAGGAACAACAAATCCAAACACACACGTGGTTTTCAAAGAAGCTACTTTCCAAATCAGAAGTTCCCAGAACAAAGCAGAATACATCATGTCACCTTAACTGAAAACCACTACATACACACCAAACCCTTCCCTCCAGAGCTGAGGCTGCACAAACCCAAGGCATACGGACATTTACTTCTTAATTATTCCTTCAATTTTTTAATCTAAACCTCAAATCTTGAGTTTTACTCTACAAAATAAAATTGAGCAACCAAGTGCCAGTAGGAAGATCACATCCTTGCCTCCTCTATAGACCCTGCTACTAGAAACATAGTGCTTCTGTGGAGAAAATAATGTTCTTCTTTCTTATCTCTGCTCAAAGAGAAATCATTTAAGGTAAATACATTTGCTTAGTAAGGAGAAATACTGGACAGTGAAGCTCACTTCTTCGGTGAAGTCTGCAGGTAAAGATCCAGCCTGATCCTTCTCCAGGTCCTGGATGCGTTCTTCATAGTGAGCCTTCAGTGCCACAATATCAGACTGCAAGGCTGAACACTGCCAAAGGGAAACTGGAAGTCAGAACAGCTCTCAGACACCACCACAGTGAAACTCATCCTGGGCAGGTTACCTGTAGCCAGCTTCTTGTAAAGGGGTAAATTGCCAAGTGAAGTTTTAAGCAGGGCTTTGACAGAGAGCTGCTGAAAGTAACAGCACCAAAATAAATACACCCAAGGAAGTGAAAACCTTGGAGATCCCCAACTGTGTCAATAGGTCTTTAAGTAACACCAAGAGCAGGCACAGCGTTACTGAGATCCCAGAGAAATGGGGGCCAGGTCTCATCACTGGACCTGTTCTGGTTTGCTGGAAGCAATGTGAAGTTACTCCTTCCCCTCCCATGTTCTTGTTATTCTGGACACTGGAAGCCCGAGGTTAGCAATTACTGCACGCTGGTTTACATTCAGCTGCTGTGTTACTCCCTTTACCTTCTCTTTGATAGGCTCCAGCTGCTCCAAACGTTGCTGGAATTCAGACAATTTTTGCTCCTCTGCTTTTTTTGAGTGCTTTAGAGCCGCAAGCTGAAACACAAGAACTAGAGCCTGTCAGTTACAGCCCCTTCAGTGTCACCCACCTCAAAACCCAGCTTCTGCTCAAACCCAGAGATAAGTTCAGAAAAGCAGAAGAGATTGTTGATGTCAGTCTCAGACTAAAACCATCTCAGCTTCCCCTCATTCAGAACTAGAACAGTAGATTCACTGGCCCACCAACCCAATGGAACAGATGCAATACAGACATCCCATGGACAAGACCAAATTCCATAACAGTCAAGAATCATAGAGCAGTTAGGGATGGAAAGGACCTTAAGATCATCCAGTTCCAACGCCCCTGCCATGGGCAGGGACACCTCACACTAAACCATGGCACCCAAGGCTCTGTCCAACCTGGCTTTGAACGCTGCCAGGGATGGAGCATTCACAGTTTCCTTGGGCAACCCATTCCGGTGCCTCACCACCCTCACAGTATATCCTTATATCCAATCTAAACTTCCCCTGTGTAAGTTTTAACCCGTTACCCCTTGTCCTGTCACTACAGTCCCTAATGAAGAGTCCCTCCCCAGCATCCCTATAGGCCCCCTTCAGATACTGGAAGGTTGCTATGAGGTCTCCACACAGCTTCTCTTCTCCAGGCTGAACAGCCCCAACTTTCTCAGCCTGTCTTCATACGGGAGGTGCTCCAGTCCCTGATCATCCTTGTGGCCTCCTCTGGACTTGTTCCAACAGTTCCATGTCCTTTTTATGTTGAGGACACCAGTCAGCTGATCGGAGCTAGCCTAGCTAGAGCCACAGCCGGCACGCTTCAGCGACCGCGAGGGTCAACGGAGATTAGGAAAATCAGAGAGGAGAGCGCAGAGACATCGCGATTCCCGACATCTCCCGATCCCCGAAGCCACAGCAGCCCTTGTGAGAGAGAGAGGCTCACGTGGCGGGGGGCGTTCCCACGGTGACGGCGACCACTCCCTACTGCTTGCCTTGAAAAAGCCTTTGAGAGGGCAGCGACCGGTCGCTGCCCACCGGGTGCAGGGAGGAACGAGCCGGTCGTGTTGCTGGTGTCCCAAACTGCGGACCAATATGGTTGTCTCCAGAAAGAGAGCTTGCAGTAAAGTGACTGCAGCAACTCAGACGGAGACCCCGTCCCAAACCGTGGCTGTTCAGGTCTCTGGGTGCAGGGAGTGCCAGAGCCTGATGCTGCCGGGGGAGGGAGGACAGCATTCCACCTGCGGGAGGTGTGAGCAGGTAGAAGATCTGCTTAGCCTGGTGGCAAGACTTAAGGAGGAGGTCGAGACGCTAAGGACCATCAGGGAGTGTGAAAGGGAGATCGACTGGTGGAGTAACTCCCTGGCGTGCCGGTCGGAACGGTTCCAGGGAGATACCCCCCAAAAGGGGAAGGACCCCCTGCCCTCTCAGGCAGAGGGGGATGGCCCGAGACAGCCCCTGCCCTGTAGCTGTAGCGCAGAGGTAGGGGACCAAAAAGACGACGAGGGTTGGAAGCGAGTTCCGGTTCGACGTCGGGGGAAACCCTCCCCCCTTCCTGCCCTGCTTCCCCAGGTGTCCATCCGTAATAGGTTCGAGGCCCTGGATCTTGAAGGAGAGGTAAGTGAGAATGTGGGGCAAGGCCAGCCCACAAGGCCACATAGGAAAAGGGGGTCGACTTTGCACCTCAGGACTGCCTCTGTTAAGAAAGAAAGAAGGGTCATTGTAGTAGGGGATTCCCTTCTGAGAGGAACAGAGGGCCCGATATGCAGAGTTGACCCTCATCATAGGGAAGTGTGTAGTCTGCCTGGAGCCCGGATCAGGGATATCACCAGGGCGCTCCCCAGCCTGGTGCACCCGACAGACTACTACCCGCTGCTGGTCTTCCAGACAGGTGGGGAGAAAGCTGCTTCCCGCAGTCTGAGGGGGATGAAGAAAGACTACAGGGCCTTGGGGAGGATGGTGAAAGAGTCTGGGGCTCAAGTGATCTTCTCCGCACTCCTTCCATCTTCCACTGATGATGTGGGAAGGAATGGGAAGATTCGGTTCATGAACAATTGGCTACGAGACTGGTGCTACAGGCAGGGCTTTGGATTCTTTGATAATGGCTGGTTTTATAGGGCACCAGTCTGGACAATGTCAAGTGAGAAAGGTTTGTCTCACAGAGGCAAAAGGATACTGGGGCACGAATTAGCAGGGCTCATTTGGAGAGCTTTAAACTAGATTCGAAGGGGGATGGGGTTGTTGCTGGGCTTGCCCCAGTGGGGCAGCGCTCCAGAATTAATGAAGACTGGGAGGCCTCCTATAATCCTAGGGTGAAATCGGTGTGCTCAGCTTGCTCCCTGAAATGTCTGTACACCAATGCGCGCAGCATGGGAAATAAGCAGGAGGAGTTGGAAACCTGTGTTAAGTCAGGAGACTATGATCTGGTGGCAATTACAGAGACGTGGTGGGACAGCTCACATGACTGGAATATAGTCATGGAGGGCTATGTCCTTTTCAGGAAAGACAGACCAGCCAGGAGGGGTGGTGGGGTTGCTCTTTATGTGCGGGAGGAACTACAATGCACTGAGTTCTGTCCAGGGACAGATGACGAGCGAGTTGAGAGTCTGTGGGTGAGAATTAAGGGGCAGGCTGGCAGGGGGGATACTGTTGTAGGTGTCTGTTACAGACCACCAGATCAGGGTGAGGAAGTTGACGAGGCCTTCTACAGGCAGCTGAGAGAGGCCTCACAGTCACAGGCCGTGGTCGTCATGGGGGATTTTAACTTCCCTGATGTTTGCTGGAAGGACCACTCGGCAACCCAGCCGCAGTCCAGGAGGTTCCTCCAGTGTGTGGATGATAACTTCCTCCTGCAAATGGTGGATGAGCCGACCAGGAGAGGAGCGCTGCTGGATCTCATCCTCACTAACAAGGAGGGTCTGGTTGAAGCAGTAAGGGTAGAGGGCTGCCTTGGTTGCAGCGACCACGAGATGGTGAAGTTCAGGATCTTGTGTGGTAGGACTAGTAGAATACCAAGTAGAATTGCAACCCTGGACTTTAGCAGGGCAAACTTTGGCCTTTTCAAGCAATTGCTAGGGGAAATCCCATGGGCAAGGCTGCTTGAAGGAAAAGGGGCCCAAGATAGTTGGTTGACATTCAAGGACTGCTTTTTCCGTGCTCAAGATCGGAGCATCCCGACATGTAGGAAGTCAAGGAAGAGGGCCAAGAGACCTGTGTGGCTAAATAGGGAATTGCTGGGTATGCTCAAGTGGAAGAGGAGAGTTTACAGGTCATGGAAGGAGGGGCTGGCCACTTGGGAGGAATATAAGGCTGCTGCTAGGGGATGTAGGAAGGCAGCTAGGAGGACTAAGGCTTCCTTAGAATTAAACCTGGCAAGAAGGGTCAAGGACAGCAAAAAGAGCTTTTTCAAGTACATGGCAGACAAAACTAACACCAGAGGCAATGTAGGCCCACTGATGAACGGGATGGGTGCCCTGGTGACAGAAGATGCAGAGATGGCAGAGTTACTGAATGCCTTCTTTGTCTCTGTCTACTCTGCTGCAGGCAGTCCTGAAGAGCCCTATACCCCTGAGACCTTAGATGAAGTCAGGTCGACGGAGCGACTTGCCTTAGTCGATGAGGAATGGGTTAGAGATCAGTTGAGCAATCTGGACGTCCATAAATCCATGGGTCCAGATGGGATGCACCCGCGGGTGCTGAGGGAACTGGCGGAAGTCATTGCTAGACCACTCTCCATCATCTTTACCAAGTCCTGGGAAATGGGAGAGGTGCCTGAGGACTGGAGGAAGGCAAATGTCACTCCGGTCTTCAAAAAGGGCAAGAAGGAGGACCCGGGTAACTATAGACCGGTCAGCCTCACCTCCATCCCTGGGAAAGTGATGGAACACCTTGTCCTTGGTGCCATCTTAAAGCATATCAAGGATAAGGGGGTTATGAGGGGCAGTCAACATGGCTTCACCAGGGGGAAATCATGTTTGACCAATCTCTTAGCCTTTTATGAGGAAATAACACGGTGGATGGATGATGGCAGAGCGGTGGATGTGGTCTACCTTGACTTCAGCAAAGCATTTGACACAGTCTCCCACAGCATCCTCACGGCTAAATTGAGGAAGTGTGGACTGGATGACCAGGTAGTGAGGTGGACTGCGAACTGGCTGAAGGAGAGAAGCCAGAGAGTTGTAGTCTATGGGGCTGAGTCTAGTTGGAGGCCTGTAACTAGTGGAGTGCCTCAAGGGTCAGTACTGGGACCGGTATTATTTAATATATTCATTAATGATTTAGATGAGGGAATTGAGTGTACTATCAGCAAGTTTGCTGATGACACTAAGCTGGGAGGAGTGGCTGACACGCCAGAAGGCTGTGCTGCCATCCAGCGAGACCTGGACAGGCTGGAGAGTTGGGCAGGGAATAACGGGATGAAATATAACAAGGGGAAGTGTAGAGTCCTGCATCTGGGCAGGAACAACCCCAGGTTCCAGTATAGGTTGGGGAACGACCTGCTAGAGAGCAGTGTAGGGGAGAGGGACCTGGGGGTCCTAGTGGACAACAGGATGACCATGAGCCAACACTGTGCCCTTGTGGCTAAGAAGGCCAATGGCATCCTGGGGTGTATTAGAAGGGCGGTGGTTAGTAGGTCAAGAGAGGTCCTCCTTCCCCTCTACTCTGCCCTGGTGAGACCCCATCTGGAATATTGTGTCCAGTTCTGGGCCCCTCAGTTCAAGAAGGACAGGGAGCTGCTGGAGAGAGTCCAGCGCAGGGCAACCAAGATGATTAAGGGAGTGGAGCATCTCCCTTATGAGGAAAGACTGAGGGAGCTGGGTCTTTATAGTTTAGAGAAGAGGAGACTGAGGGGTGACCTTATAAGTGTCTATAAATATATAAAGGGGGAGTGTCACGAGGATGGAGCCAGGCTCTACTCAGTGGCAAACAATGATAGGACAAGGGGTAATGGGTGCAAACTGGAACACAAGAGGTTCCACTTAAACTTGAGAAGGAACTTCTTCTCAGTGAGGGTGACGGAACACTGGAACAGGCTGCCCAGGGAGGTTGTGGAGTCTCCTTCCCTGGAGACATTCAAAGCCCGCCTGGACACATTCCTGTGTAACGTCATCTAGGTGTTCCTGCTCTGGCAGGGGGATTGGACTAGATGATCTTTTGAGGTCCCTTCCAATCTCCAGCATACTGTGATACTGTGATACTGTGAACTGCACACAATGCTCCAGGTGAGGTCTCACAAGAGCAGAGCAAAGGGGCAGAATCACCTCCTTCGACCTGCTGGTCACGCTCCTTTTGATGCAGCCCAGGATACAGTTGGTTTCTGGGCTGTGAGTGCACACTGAAGCCGGCTCATGTTCATTTTCTCATCGACCAACACCCCCAAGCCCTTCTCCACAGGGCTGCTCTGAATCTCTTCTCTGCCCAACCTGTAGCTGTGCCTGGGATTGCTCTAACCGAGGTGTAGGACCTTGCACTTGGCATGGTTAAACTCCATGAGGTTGGCATCAGCCCACCTCACAGGCGTGTCAAGGTCCCTCTGGATGCCATTCCTTCCCTCCAGGATATCAACCGAACCACACAGCTCGGTGTCATTGGCAAACTTGCTGAGGGCGCACTCAATCCCACTGTCCATGGCAGCGACAAAGATGTTGAACAAGACCAGTCCCAACACCGACCCCTGAGGGACCCCACTCGTTACTGGTCTCCAGCTGGACACTGAGCCATTGACCACAACTCTTTGTGTGCGGCCATCCAGCCAGTTCTTTATCCACTGAGTGGTCCATCCATCAAACTGATGTCTCTCCAGTTTAGAGACAAGGATGTCATGTGGGACAGTGTTGAACACTGCACAAGTCCAGATAGATGACATCAACTGCTCTACCCCTGTCCATCAGTTCCGTAGCCCCATCATAGCAGATAAGAAGTTAAAGTCAAGATGCACTGAGGTGGGAGATGCTGGTTACTGGTTATTTGGTATTACATTTCAGCCCCTTTACCTTCTCTTCCAGCTGGGACACCTGCTGCTGCAGGGAATCTCTCTGCTCACACACCTCCTGGTACTGTCTCATGTGCTGCTCCTTGGCTGATGCCAGCGTACGTTCACATTTAGATTCCCACTGGGATTCCAGCTCTGCCTGGAGGAGTGACAGCTGCCCGTCAAGTAAAAGAAATCATTAGGAACACACACATGCAATGGGTATTTGCACAAGAAGTGGCTGAAAGCTTGAGGCTGGACAACATGCAACACCTACTTGCAGATGGCAGTCCTGTAGCCATCACCAGCTCCTGCCCAATCCTCAGCTCAATTCCAGCCACAATCCCTCAGGCTGACCTGAAGCTCTCACTCTCATTTCAGATCTCTTGGCATATTTCTAAGCAGTCTTTCACTCATCAGCAGTCCTGTACTCTTGTCTCTACTATGAGCTCAATTTGGTGCCTCTGCTTTCCTCAGTTTGACACTCTTTAACACAGTCTACATCTGATGGTGCTTGCCAGCCTGCATCAACGCTGCAGCAAAGCTCTGCAGCCATGTCAGTGGCCTGGGATTTGAGTCAGAGAACAACTGGGACCTTGCAGCCTTCCTGCCCACCCAAATCAGGCACTGCCTTAGAAAGGCAGGAGTCAGAGGCAGGGCCAAACACCAGCAAAGATATTTTAGAAAGACAACAAAGTGAGCCCTGTGTTAAATTCAACCCCTACAATCAAGGCGATAATGTTTTTATTCTTCCACTACCTGAGCATTTGTACAACTATTCCCTACCATAGGTCTCTTGCACCATATTGCACTCACAGTGTCTCTTGCACCATAGGTAGGAAATAATAAGCTCCTAAAAGGCTTCCAGACACTTGTTGAAGTTCCCCTGGCTCCTCACCTGCTCTGCTGCTGCCTGGTCAGTCGAAGTCCGTGCCTTTTTCAGCAGCTGGCGGAGCTTGTCCAGCTCCTGCTGATAGGATCTGCGGATTTCCTCCATCTCTTCCTCTGCCTGAGCTCTCTCCGACAGGGATTTCTTCTTCCTCTCTGAAAGATTCTGCAGTACAGAACAGGACATAGAATAGGCCAGACTGCACCCAAGAAGCTTCTCTTCCTCGTGCAGAAAGAGCAGCTTTGAGCAGGGAGTCTTATCACTTTAAAATCAAGGAGATACTGTTTTAAAGGTAAGAATGTTGACATATTACTGGCTAAGATATTAAAAAAGAAACCAAAGAACCAACATAAGCACGAAGTATCCACCAGGGATCCTTCCTGCTGATGAGTCAAGATTTACCCAACTTGGATATTTACACAGAATCATACAATGGTTAGGGTTGGAAAGGACCTTAAGTTCATAGGACCATGATATTATCATAGAATTATGATTCTAACATACAAGATTGTTGGGTTAAACTTCAGCAAACTGAAGCCCTCTCTGTATCTCTCTGATGCTGGCACAGGACATACCTTTTCAAGGGTCTCCTTCTCCACTTTCAGGTCCATGAGCTCTTCCTCCAGTGCCGAGATCTTCATGTCCAGCTGTTTGCGGCTCTGCTTCTCAGCTTTAAATCTGGTCTGAGTGTCCTCAGAGGCCTCCTGGAGCTCTGCAAAAATACAATTTACTGTGGGTTTTCCCTATATTTCAGGTGAATGCATTTGGGGCTGAGGGGAAGGAACAGGGTCTCTTGCACAATGAGATCAACAACACAACTTGCACCTCACTGGGGACTAGACTGATGAGGAGCAGCTTTTCTGTGACATGGCAGTGTTTATACCTCAGGTTTTATCTTAACTTTTCAACCACTGGAACGTTTCAGTTCCCCTACAAGATGTCAGCCAGTAATAGCAAGAAATAGCTTCTGCAAAAGACATCCCTGTCACAGCATGATCTTGTTCATTTGACTTGGCCCACTTTGCTTTTAGTGCTAACAAGGACGCATATAACCTTCAATGTGTCAATATCCTCCTTCAATACCCTGTGACTGGCCCTAGGAAAAGCAGGAACAGATAGCCCAGAAGAAAGGAAAAGCCTATGGCTTACAAAAAAGGAAAATCAATGACAAAGGAGCTCTGCTGGAGCAGGCACAGGAAGCCTCACCTGCTAACTGCGCCTGCAGCTTGTTGAGCTGTGTCTCGTGCCGCTCAGCCTCCTGCAGGGCAGCAGAGAGCTGCTTCCGCAGGTCCATCTCCTTCTTCTGATGTGCAGTCAGCTCCAGCTGCAGCTGGGAAACCTGTGCTGTGGCAGCTGCCAACTCCTCTGCGACTTTGGCCTGTGCAAAATGGAGCAAGGTAGAAAAAAGAATCTGTGAGTGTGAGGAGACAACCACAGCTGTTCTCGCAGGAAGAGCACTGGAGATGTGTTCAGGGAAGTGCTGATCCAGCACCTTACAGGCACCTCCAAATTGAAGATGTAACAGTAACTTCTTTTGCCATGTCACTGTGTTTGCCTGTAAGCTGTCCAGACCAACCAGAAAGTTGCACAGGGCCACCACCAACCTTAGCACCACACCAGATCAACTCAGGCAGTTTTCCTTGAAAAGCTTATATGTGTTTTTTAAGACTAGCAGCAGTGCCTGGTGGCTCTGCCCAGAGTTTAAGCTATGACAATGCCTGTTCAAGTAAAAGCCTGGGCTCCAACATGTCTTCAATAAGCTTACAAACGACTGAAAAAGCCACACAAAACACAGGCTCGGTCCAGCCACAAGAGCACCTTCCCTCCAGAGCACTCGGCACGTAGACACCTTGAGGTGCCCGCACAGGCAGGGCTGGCATTCTGCAGCCCAGATCTCAAGGTCATTTGTTGACTTGTTTAGATTGAATATTGCTCAGAGTCAGTGACTCAGTAAACCCAGGCACTACCAGAGCTTGTCACACAACTTGTAAACGATCTGTTAGGAGAGGCTCAAGGCATCAAGACAAAGTCACGTTCCCAATCTCATTGCAAGACACACGAAATTCAGAGGATGCTCTGCAAAGACAGAACTGCACCCATCAAAAACCCTCACTTTCTACAGGGAATACCCAAACAGCTTCTCTCTCTATGACTACAACCAGACTCCCGACAGGCTTTCACATTCTTGTAACCGGTAAGTTCAGGAGCACTGGAGCTTCTCTCTGCTTTATCCCCATAAAATAACTACTGCTTCACTTCAGATTAGGACCACCACCTTCGGGCAGAGAAGAGCTGTGAGCAAAATTGTTCCAACTATGGTGAGGGTGAATAAGTGCTAACCTTGAGGGCTGGGATACCACACCATTCATTTTAAAGAGGAGGCAGTATTTCAGAGACTGACCTGCTTTTCTCTTAAGTTTCCATACGTGTCTCACTGCAGTTCAAGATGGTAACTCCTAGCATGCTAAAACCAAACCCCATGGCATATCTCAAGGTTATTTTAACACTTATCTTTAATGGCAAATAAAGAAAATTAAAAAAAAAAAAGGAAATCCTATGCTGGGAACTGTTACTAGACTTAAGTTTCTGCAGTGAATGCTTCACATCTATACTAGCTCAGCTCCGCCTCCAGCTTTCAGGTACCAAGAATCTTACATGATCTGTATCTGCTCTGATAATTACACGATCATGTCCTGATCATGTCCTGCCAAAGGTCTTTGCAAAGGGCTCCCCAAGAAAGAGCAAGTGGCTACACTGCCAGTTAGAAAGCCCTTTTCCAAAGCCTTTTCCCAAGTGGAAGATCCATGCAAATTCAAGATCTGAGGCAATTCTTCTGATGCCAGTCACCTTCTAGCTATGCAAAAGGAAGCTGGGCTGGCACTACCCAGGGCACAGTTATCTATGGCCTACACAGTCAGCAGACACACTGCCTCACCTGGTCCCAGCCCCGATCCACTGGCAGCATGTGCTGGGAAGAGAAAGCAGTGACAGGAAACAGGGAGAGTTAAGAACACAACTTGCAAGGCAGAGGCATTCATCATCATCAGAAAAGCAAAGTGCTTCATTGCAGGAGCCTAAGGCATGCCAGAGAAGCCCTTAAATTATTCCAAGAACTGTAAAAGCTTTGACAGAAAAAGGTAGTGAAGCCTGGCTTAAAAAGAAAGAAGCTAAAGGCACGTTTCACTCTGCAGATGTAGGAGCAGTGGGTCCTACTTGTGATTACCATTTCCCTGCAATGGAGACTGTGGGACACAAAGCCTTCATCTAAAGCTGTGATGTGCTCTGCCAGGGTCAAAGACCTAACACCCAAAAGCAGCAAGCTACTAATAGCTCTTTTCTTTGATCCTGGGCACAGATGCCTGGCCTGTATCACAAAGTAAGTGGTGAGTCCCTATTTTATTTAAAGAACAGATAAAATAGCTTAAAACTCTCTTCCCTGATTCTGTCTGTCCATAGCAATCTCTGGAACTGCAGTCACAGAGCAGCTACCTTGGATAAACGGAAGAGAAAGGAATATCAGACTTCACATTTACAGTCAGCACTCTCACAAAAGCAGCAGAAATCACTCAATGCATGTCATGGCTTTCATGGCTTTTCTGGTGCAGCCTGAAGTCTGTTCATGTAACAGTGCTCTTTCCCAGGCAGTGACTGCTGGATCAAGTGGAGCCTTATTGAAGATGAGGCCCAAAAGACTTCTAAAGATCATCATACTTCCCAAAGTACTTCCTCCCCAGGCTACTGCACAAGCTGGATGCTGTGCTCACTGACGGAAGGGATTTTATTTATTCTTTCAATCTGACTTACTCCTGGTTAGAAACTCTCACTACATGATTACAGGTTAAATCCTGTGTTAAAACTCCCAGTGTTAAAACAGAATCCTCCCTCACTGCCTGCTCACACCAGCATGCAGTTATCAGCCATGTACTCATGTACTGTGCTGTTCTTTAGCACACTTGCTGGCACACCCTGGAAAGCTGCACTTAGTCGTGGTTCTCATGCAGAGCAAGTGTTTATCATCTCACATTTGAATTGGAGAAAAGCACAATTCAGCAGGGGAGCACAGTGCAAGACTGAACTTGGTGTTATTTAAGAAGCCAGGGCTTGAGAAGGCATAGAAAACACCATGCAATTACTGACCTCAAAGCCAGCCTGGGCTAGGCTGTCCTAAGTGGACACATTACAGGATATGCAGCCATGCACAAGTGCATTTAAGTGGTTTGAAAGCTATTTCCCAATAGCCCCTTTCACAAAAGCACAACACATTATTGGTAGAAACAAACAGTTCTTGAATATTAGTATTAAAAAACAAAAGTGCAAAAGTGCAATGAGGAAACTTCAGTAGCAAGCACCTTTTCTTACAGCTACATTCGTTCTATGTCAGTTAAATACAAAGCCCTATAATACACAATTCCTCAGTGTGTTGGACATATACCTACAAAGTTAACAATAAATCAGACACCTCCCTGTGAGATATGAGTATGAAAGCTATGACAGCATAAAGATCACCATTTATATCCTCTGTGCTGACTTTGCCATGAATACAAAGTGTTTCTCAGAACAGCTTTCAGAACATATGTCCAAAACTACATTTGTCTTGCAAGAGAACGCACTTAAGCCTTGACTAACAAGGCTTCAGCTCATTTCAGTGCCACCAGCAGCCCCTCTCCTGGCTGCAGCTGGAGATGGATGGCTCTGCTCATTGTCACCATTACCTTCTCCTGCTCTGCATGCAACACTCTTGCCTGTGTGTTTTCAGTTGTTGTTTGCAGGGAATGGTTCCTCTGCTCCATTAGCAAGTTACTTTGCTCGACGTACCTGTGAATGGGGGAAGACTGGATGAGCATCTATGTAAGCACATGATTTGGAGCAAAAGGCTCAGAGAGAAAACATGGTATTTCACATCAGTTTTCTTCATGACAAGTCCCAGACTATTTTGCATGGCAGCCTGCACTAAGGTCCTGATCTCAAAAGGGTGGACTGGGTGTGCCTTGGACAGCAGATTTTGTATCAGTCTGGATATCTGCTTTACTTCTCTAATGAGTCTAATGTTCCTACCACACAGTCAAGAGTTGTGATAACTTGATATCCACTGATCTCTGCCATTTCCTTAAACAAATTATTCCCCTTCTTTAACCAAATGGGACACACAGCCAGTGGAAGTAGGGACACCACATCTACAATTTCTTCCACCTTGCTAAAAAGCTAGTAAATGTAAAAACTCCCAGAAGCAGAGCAAGTGTGCTCATGAGGTTTTACCCCCTTTTACACATCCCTGTTTTACACAGTAAACCACAGTTTTGGAGATAAGCTCTCTGGGGAGGGGGGAACAACACCCCACACTTTTAATGCCTTAAACATAAATATATCAGAGCATGTCTCTACTCTAAAGAGCACTTCTCCTGGTTATACCTAATCAAGTGTAAGCTAGATAGTCTTTGCAAATGCACAGGCTGTATGTACCCTCCCACTCCTTACCTCTGATTCCGCTCAATCAACTCGCTGATCTTCTCATTCTGCTCCTCAATCCGACTGCTCTTCTCAAATATCTCTTGCTTCAGCCTCTCATTCTCCTAAAGCACAGCCCAGCATGAATATTCATCTTACTCAGACTTCCCTGCAGCAGTACCTAAACCTTTGTTTTGTACAGATGCAATACAGCGGTGAGATACCACCTTCTGTGGTCACACCACTGGAAGGCTCTGTGCTGCATTTAGCAGGAATCCTGGCCTGGCACAGCGGTTGCCAAACCACATTCTAGAGAATACTGTGTCTGGTTGACTTCTTCACCCATAAAACACAAGATTGTAAAGCTGATTTCTGGAAAGCTACAAAGCACAATACCAAGTAGTGAAAAACAGAAGTAAGTGGTTTTTGCAACATAGTACTCCAGCTGTGAAATTGTGCTGCAGGATGCTGTGGGTTAAGTCCATAAAGGTTTAAGCAGAGGCTGAATTTCTCCCACATGAACCTTTTGTCAAGGCCTATTAAATACCAGTGTATCAACTCTGGCTGGGAAAGCACCCAAACCAGAAACTGCTGAGCAGAGCTTTTTTAGGAGGGAGAGGGGTGGAAATCATTGTGTATCTCATGCTCTTACCTAGGCAGCTGGTTTTGGCCATGCAAAGACAGAACACATGGGTAGATTGACATTTGGGCCAAACCAGTAGAGCTGTCCCAATTAGGAGTAACAGTGGGCTGCAGCTCCTTATGGAAGCAGTCAAATAAGGCTGGCCATGCTCACCTGGATTATGCGTTGGATATTGCTCATGATCATGGACGCTTCCATAGTAACAGAGGAGATACCAGGCAGGAGTGAGCTGTTACCAGCACTTTGTTTCCTCAACTCCTCCACCTGCAGGGATAAGCCATTCTTAAACCAGAGGAAATGAATTTATGGGTGTAGATCAGAGTCAGACATCCACAAAAATCCACTGCTGCACCTCATCAGCTGTAGGGTGTATGCTACTATATCTACTGTGACACCTCCTGAAGGGCAGTGAATCCTCCCAAACACAATGTGCCATATGATATTAAAGACAGAGACAACACCTTTCCCCAAGAGCAGGCTTAGTTTTTCACAGTAGGTGAATTGTTACTGCTTCAAGGTCTGGTAACACTGAAGTTTTCATTGTTACTAACATCACCTACAAACTTAATACAGCATTTAAACAGAGCCAACTCCCCAGACTACACCTGAAGACCAAGCAGTACCATCACTAACAAGCCTGCCTGTGCATACATTACCTTGGCAGCCAGATGATCCATCTTGTCTACCACTTTGCTAACAGCCATTCGGATTTCAGTGTTATGCTGCCGAGCTTCTGTCATCAAGAAGGAAGTAATATCCCCAGGAGCTTGAATGGAAAGGAGAGAGATCTATAGTCACTAGGGGAAAATGCCTCCACACAGACAGACCAAAAGCCATGCTTAGCAGTTTGAAGCCTTCCAAACAGGACAGCCACTCTCTTCCAACAAATAAGAAGAAGATGGTATCTGGAAAACTAATGTAGGTGTTTTCCAAATAACATGACCAGGCAGGTTTATGAGCATAAAAAATTCTTGAGCAATGTGACAGCACTTGGGTCAACAAGAGGGAAGCCCCCAGACACACAGGAACAGAAGTGTGCAAAGAGAACAGTCAAACAAAAGGCACAAAGGCTGACTTTTGAAACTTTGAAGTTCCTTAATACTCTAAGTCCTTCCTAGGTTGCTACATCCTCACACTTTACATGCACACTTCAGCTCCTTCCCTGGGTCGTAGGAGAGCTTTCTACTATTACAGTTACAAATATAATTGGAAGAATCATCTATAAAATACGTGTAGTAACACACAGCCTTGGCAGTACACTTGGAAATTCCACTCCCCTTCACACTGTATGAAGTCAAGGTTAAAAAAAAAAAAATAATAAAGAAAAAAAAAGATGGATATTTACTGGAAAATGTTTACCCTTATTTGATTTTAAGAAATGGGGATTTGTGAAACAGCAGAGGGACCTTGGACAAGGGCCTGTAGGGACAAGCCAAATGAGAATGGCTTTAACCTGCCAGGGGGGGAGACTGAGATGAGCTCTTAGGCAGAAGCTCTTCCCTGTGAGGGTGCTGAGGTGCTGGCACAGAGTGCCCAGAGAAGCTGTGGCTGCCCCATCCCTGGCAGTGTTCAAGGCCAGGTTGGACACAGGGGCTTGGAGCAAGCTGCTCTAGTGGAAGGTGTCCCTGCTGGTGGCAGGGGTTGGAACTGGGTGAGTTTTAAGGTCCCTTCCAACCCCAACCAGTCTGATTCTATGACAGACAAAATGAATATGCATGTGTTTGCTACTATTGCTACCTACATCCTCATGCTGAACAGTTTACTGCAGGTATTGCAACCTTCTGGAAAGCAAGAAGTTTTTTAAACATACCTTGGTAAGGTGCAGGATACATCTGTCCCACAGGCTGGAGTTGAGAAGCAGATGCAGCCGTCTGGGGGTAAGCAAATGCCATTCCTGGATATGCCTTGCAGAACAGGTTTAATAGATTAGAATATGTTTTGATATCTCCCCGCTTGCCACACTTAAGTGGATTTCATGGGGGTTTTTTTAAGCCCCAGGAGCAAAGATGATATTTGGAGACTAAAAAGAAAGAGAGGTAAGAAGCTGGAAGTCAAGTGACACAAGTCATAGTAAAGGGAAAATAACAGTCACTTCTTTCAAGGCTTAAATACATATTCAAGTTACCACAGCTCACTAAGTTATCTTCTTCGCTGAATTTTAAGCAAAAACATGTTACCTTACATTTGGGAGAGGCAAATGCCAGCACACGAACAGCTCACTTTGGAGTTAGGTTAACTTTAACACAAGACTCTTCCTAGGGAGGGCTTAAAAAGTGCAACATGACTTGATTGCAACTTTACTGTTCAGTGCCAAGGAGGAGCTAAACAGACCGAAGCACATATTAAATGCTACAGCTATCTCCTACGTACCAATTCACACTCTCAGGCAAGGTAAAAGGAAAGATTACAATACAAATTGGGCCAAGGGTTGAGAAGAGTTCAGGATATCAGGGTCAAACTTTCAAAACATTCAAAGCAAATACATCCAAATCACCCTCAGATTAAAACTTCATGTTAACGAATAGTTTCTATTTCAACAAACAGAAAAGCCTTTCTTTATCCTGTTACTTGCCAAACCTTCCTCATTTTCAACACAAGGAAACTGCAAAGCAAAAGCGTTGAAAGGCCACAACAGATCTGGGTTTGCTGTGGGGTTTTGGGGTGAATTTTGGGATGGGGGTGGGTGTTATCACTACATAGTGGTTTTATCCATTATCAAATTATTTCTTCCTCTGCTTCAACCCTTTAAATTAAACACTCTTTGTGACATAGGCCACTGGTTTCCAAAAGCTCCAGAAAATATGCTGCAGAAAGCAGAAGGTAAAAGGCTTGGGTTCAGACGTTACAGAACGGTTTGCATGACTATCATAGTAGTAAGTCTTTACTATCTGATGTGGCAAACACATTGTATGTTTAAAGCTTCCTTGTTTAGCAAGCAGACTGCATCACTTCACAGCAGCACCACAAGCCTTTTAAAAGGCTTGTTCCTTCACTGGGTGAAAACCATGACCCATGAACACCTGGAGTGTGCGAATGAGCTCTCACGGAAAACCAGACCAGGACCAAGAAAAGTTGCAATTAAAATTCTTCTAGTTTCTGCTTTACAAATACTTGGAAGTTTTTTTATTTTATCCACTACAAAACCAGATACTAAAAAAAGTCTGGTTAATTCTTGGTTCAACCTAAAGAAGCCATCAGCAAGCAGAAAAATTGCCCTTTTTGACTAAATTAGAGGCATGTAATGTAAACCTGAGAATGCCAGAGTGTCACAGGAAGGAAGCTGGGATTCTCATCTTCACCCTTGCCCCAGCAATGGAGAAGTAAGACTTAGGAGAAAGAACAGGAGAACCAATACTCTCTTCAATTTCATTCTGGTACCTGAAAGCCCTGTGCTCCTGCAGGCAGAGCTGAATGTGGCTGGATCGTTGCAGGTATTAAAGCAGCGGAAGATACTGGGGGTGCAGAACCAGATGCCTGAGGTACTGAAAAGGAAGAAAGAAATTCAGCATGCCATAAAGTAGCTGGAAATAATTTAACTCACCCAGTGTGAAATGGCCAAAAACCATTAACTAAATAGACAAAAATTTAACAGAAACCTGTCTGCAGCCTTGTGAAAATTAAATCCAGTAAAACAAGTGATTAAAGGTAATCTTTCAGAGAGATTCCACTTCTACCTACATTTAGGTAACCTCTTTTCATTCAAAGAAAGGCAGCTCTAAAGGTTACTGATATGAGATGTTACTCATGCTGACTCTGAAGCCTGCTCAGCTGACATTACTAGTCCATCATGGGAAGACAAGTCAAGCCCACACCAAGGCTGTCAGTCTCTAATGCCCTTCACTCTTATTTCACTGTGCCCATGTCCAAAGCCCCTCTCCAGCTTTCCTGCAGCCCCTTTAGGCACTGGAGCTGCTCTCAGGTCTCCCCTTCAGGAGCCTTCTCTTCTCCAGGCTGACCCAACCCAGCTCTCTCAGCCTGGCTCCAGAGCAGAGCTGCTCCAGCCCTCGCAGCAGGTCCGTGGCCTCCTTTGGACTCGCTCCAACAGCTCCATGTTCCTCTTGTGCTGTTGCTCCACAGCTGGATCAGGACTACAGGGGGAGCATCTCCCCACAGTGCAGCAGAGCACTCCCTTGACCTGCTGCTCACATTCTGGTGGTGCAGCCCAGCACACAGAAGGGGTTCTGGGCTCAAGTGCACACTGGAGCCTGGTCATAGGGAGCTTCTGATCAACCAACACCCCCTAGTCCTTTTCCTCAGGGCTGTTCCATCCAGTCTCCATTTAGCCGGTGTTTGTGCTTGGGATTGCCCTGACCCAGAACATACCTATCAGTTCCTATTTCAGCTCCCAAAACGAATCCTTTATTTGTAAAACCTTTCTGCCTGAAGCCTGCAAATAAGTGCAGTTTTGCTATTCCAGTCCCAGCTCACCAGCACATTACCTTGTGTGGACACTGTGGGCAGTACCGCATGAGCTGGCTGGGCTGGTCTCACAGAAGATGAAGCCACTGGTTGTGCTGTCCCTCTGAGTGTATTTGGATCCTAAAAATATGTCTGCATATTACAATGAATGCTGAAGAACAAGCAAACAGTTTGAACCCAAGATCACTTCAGAGTGGGTGTTACCCAGTTAACCCAACTGAACTGTCCAGAGCATTTGTTCAACCCTTTTGCCACTGGAACAGTGTATGCTTCCCTGTACAAAGGGAGAGCTATTACTACAGATTCCCCTTTAAGGGATTCACACAGGAAAGAAAGCATCAAAGAAGCCATACTTATATAATAATGTACCTCTATCTCCGAGTCACTGGAGTCCAGCTGACTACCTGCTGTCCCAGCCAGGAAAGGCAGCATGGGCTGTCCCATTTTAGCCATCCGAGAAATAAGCTTTGCCTTTGCTACATCTGGGTTCTAAAAGAAACGCTTGCAGTTACTCTCCCTTGGTCCCTCAGCCCAGGCTTTTCAGACATTACAGACACATCTGTCAGGATTAGACTCTTCTAAATCATTGAGTTAATTCTGTCCCTTTCAATTTTTCAATGACTGCGCAAAAAGCTAATTTTCAAGCACACAAGATAACACGGGGTTTGTTCATCTGGCTTCCTTTATGTACCCCCCTTCTGGGATGACACTGCTGTCACTACACATTAAAACTTATACCTGCACAAAGCACAGCAACAGGGTGCAGATATGTGAACTGAGGAAGCTGCTTAACAGCTCCTTCTATCCTGAGGTACTCACAAGAAGTCATCTTCCCATGCAGCTGTATAAAGTTATACCAAATGTCCCATTTACTCTTTGTTATCCATTTTATTTTTGTCCATCTATCTGAAAAGACAACTAGCCTGTAATTATCCACATGGTCAAAAGTAACCTTACATTTAAGAGTAGGAACTAGAACTGCAGTTCATGTTCTGTTAATGCCTTCAAAAACAAGGCCCTAACCCAGTGTCAGTAGGGTAAGCATTGAAGAGTCTTCCTTGCCTGATGTTCACTTTATCTTCAGCAATATCAAATGTAATGGTGAAACAATCAAGCTTCCCTACTTAAGGCTTCAAATTAGTTAGGAAAAAGCCAACACTTACTGCTAGCTGTTCACTGATGGAGTTTGACTTGGCCCGAACAGCTGGCTCCCTGAAAAACAAAGTGTATGCTGATACTAGAGATTAACAAGAAATTCAGGATTCAACAGTCTGCATTTCTAAATACTGTCAAATACACCTCCCCTTAGAAAAAACATTTTCTTCTACCATAAGCATTTAGTTTAGCTTGCTTTTGGAAGATTCTTTGCAACACTGCCTGTAAGTTTCTGAACATCCTTATGAACAAGTTCCATGGCTGTGGAACAGCTGATTACAGAAAGATGATTTCATGGATTGCTGCAACAACCACATCCTGGTACAAACAATTTTAATCAAGTCTAATAACAAACTACTTATGACAACTAGAGCAGCACTTCAACTTGAGCTCCCTAAAAAGGATGGCTGACACAGTTAAACAAATGACAACGTAAAATTTGCAATTAAACAAATGAGCCATTACCCAAGAGCAGCTGATGATCACACTGCCACCTGAGACAAGCAGGCTGTTGTAGCAGTACCCATACGGCTTAACCAGGCCAGATCTCAGTACTGCTGTAGAGGAATGACTTAATCTGTGCCCATTCCAGTCTCTTTCAATCTATTCAGCATATTCCAGCAGCAAATTTCCTGCAAGCCTCATCAGCAAGCATTTCTCTGCCACACTGACAGCATTAGGCTGGCATAAAAAGGACCCACATCTGCCAAAGGATTGTGTTAATGCAGGGTTGTGCTATGTGTCTATGAGCATTGCCATCTTTTAATGCAGCTGCCTCTTACCCAGGCTTTGGAGGTATTGTAGATGGGGGCAGTAAACCAGTGTCTGCAGGGAAGCCATCTGAACTGGGGACTGGAGAAGGTGCAGGAGAATCCCGTGAGCTGACACTCTGTCCATCCGAACCAGAGCAGTCCTTTACCAGCTTCACCTTAAAAACCATGTAACAAAACACAGGTTATTCTGGGTTCCCAAAATAAGTTTTCAGCAACTTCTTTATTTTTTATGACTACTCCTTTGTCAAGCTCATCCCCTTCAATTAAGGGTTTATGACTGATTCAGACCTGGAGAAGCTGAGTCTTTGCATCCTGTCATTCCCCACTGAGTGCTGTTTTCCCAAGTGACTCACAAATAAGAAAATGAAAAGATCCCAAGACAGTTAGAACAGACATGTCTTAGTAAACAGCCCAGAGGGATTTTGGGGAATTTTGTTTTTTTTTTTTAATTAAAGATATGTAGCTCCCTGTGGTATTTGGTTTATAACAGTTTCTGAGCTGTGGCTCTCATACCAACAGCAGGTTTTCACCCTGCAGACAAATGCTGCCACTCAACAGCCATAAAGTATATGTAAAATAAACGTGGCAGGAGACACTCACTCGCCTCACTTCCACCTCAAAAATTAAAGTGGAGTCTGGAGGGACTCGGCCAGCCACTCCCTGAGCTCCATAGGCCCATGCTGGAGGAACGATGAGATATCTTCGGCCTCCCTTCTTCATCCCCATCATTCCTTCTTCCCAGCCCTTTGGTTTTCAGAGACACAACAGAACAGAAAGCAAACAGTTTGATCAGTGACATGACATTGTTCTCATTAAGACATCTTCAGGCACTGGCTATAGGAGATACCAAAACCCATACAGAGATTCTTATGAAATCCTGTTTGTTTTCAGTCTGCAGCACTAAACCTGTGTCTTAAAATAAATCTTAATGGCCAGTTGTAAGTTGCAACATTGACTTAAGAATAAAGAAGCAGCTCCCAAGATGTTGATAATGAAATCAAACACATGCAGCAATGTCTAGCATGAAGGCTGGAGGCTTCCAGATCTCTGCAGGTACCAGAAACCTGGTTTAAGTTTTAAGCACCATAACTTAAAAACAGCTATCGCAGATCCCACTGACATCCTGAAGAACAGAGCTGCATGCTGTGCTGTGTGCACAGACTCTGCAGTTGCAGAAGCTTGCAGAGCACTCAGTGGTGACCTCTCAGGATTCAGGCAAAGAACAGGACTCCACATCCTTGAGATCACTTCTGAATTGTTGTGGTTAGATTTATAAAGCACCCACAGAAAACAGTTGTAGTGAAGGAGATTTAAAAGTCAGAAAAATACAAATGGTCAATGGATGCCTGCATTTAACAGGATGACTAATGCACCCAAGCAACATTAATAAGAAAATGGATATTAAAACAAAGTAGAAAAATAGTGTATCTTCAATGAAGAAAAATTTGTAACAGGTCATCTATGAATTACTCAGGTAATGAAAGTGACTTGAACATAAGCATCTCTATGATGTGTGAGTGGCGAGCACCTAGAGAAGGTGTAGCTGCTCCATCCCTGGCAGTGTTCAAGGCCAGGTTGGACACAGGGGCTTGGAGCAAGCTGCTCTAGTGGAAGGGGTCCCTGCCCACAAGCAGGGGGTTGGAACTGGAGGAGCTTTAAGGTCCCTTCCAACTCAATCACTCTGTGATTCTACCATCTCTGATTCACAACCTGGCTTTATGGAGCAATATAAGGGAGCATCATACCACTGGAGTGAAAAATTATCACACAGTCAAAACCCTCACAATGTGTTTAGAGGGTAAAAGCACTTGTAGTACTATGTTTTAGTAGACCATCCTAAGAACTTGTCAGTTGTCTTCACCCTCCCATGCCCTTGCCCCAGGTGACAAGTCAGGGCTATTTGATGCTCTGCTTCTGAGGCACAATCAGTGTGGAGGAATATGAAGTAGTTCCCAAATAGAAATCCTCCTTCAGAAATAGAACTCCCTGGGAACAAGGTAATGGATTAAGTGGCTCCCAGAAAAAACACAGACAACTGAAAAACCCAGCTCTTGAAACTCTTGAAAAAAAGCTTCTTTTTTACCAAACAGGACAACAGTGCCACTGAGGAGACTGGGCTATATTGTGCAAATTAAGAAGAAAATAAAGAATCTTGAAAAAGATCTCCAGTAATTCAAAGCTCAGACTTCAGTTGTTATAATGGAAGTGTCAGAAGTTCTACCTTGATGACCTTTCCAGATCCCAGCTTCAGGCGCAGCAGCTTGTCTTTGTTAACATTTGAGTCAAATACCTAGAGAGTTGAAGAACAAAAACATAGACTATATGGATTTCCCAATGATTTCAAGACTCTGAACTCTACTTAACACATTTCATGAACTCCTGCAAGCTCTTATGTGCTGTTTCCTATTCTACCTCTTCCAAAATTAATTACCAGACATAAGACATGGCTACAGCTTCTAGTACAATTCAGTCCAATTTCTTATAGGAAACACTAGCTGGAAACTCAAACTTTACAACTGCTTTGAGCTCGATGGTCAGGACAGGATTGGGCCAACCAGAACACCACACAACAGGCTTCTATCAAACAGCAAACAACTGTCTACAAGTTTTGTACATTAAACTACAACAGCAGCTGTTTGTACTTAATGTTTGCACACTAAACTATGCAGCTGAACAACTCTTTCAGATGAGAAGTAGGCTCTGCTATGTGCCACTGGTACACACAGTGAAGGGCATGCCAGGCAGGCCAAGAAAAACAAAACACCTCCTAACAGATGAAAAACATAAAGCCCTTTTTTATAGCAAAAAGATTCAGCTGCAGATAGATACAAGCGCAAACCCTCTGCTGTTAATTTTGCCAGCAGAAGTATTTTAGAAGTAATGCTTTGGAAGGTTAAAGCATTTGTTTATTAGCTGCAGAGGATGTGAAAGCATTCTCATTCTTTTAGTAGTTGGAGATATGCTTCATGTCAGACAAGGCCCTTCTTATCACTTCCTCAAGCTGCTTCCAGAGGAGCAGAGCTGGCTTCCCTGTCTGTTCTCACAAGTTTCATAGGCACTCTCACACATTCGTATTAATGAAAGTTAAATGCCTTTCAATCACCTCCTCCTGAACAGTAATGGGATCCTGCATTATTCTATAGGTAACACTTAAGACCTCGATTATGGTGCCATAAGTGACTGACAAAATCCTTTTACCATCAGCACCAATACTGCACTCAATGTGGCAGGTTCCTTCAGGTGCTGTCACTTTCAGTACTAGGAAGAAGCTGAAATGCCTTTACCTGTCCAAGCCCATTATTCTGGAACAGCCAACCCGTATAGGCAACCTCCAGAGAGTCTCCTGCTTCTGCTCCCTGTCCCTCTCCGAGAAGGAGATCCTGGGAGAGTACTGAATCCAGCACTGGTGAGCTGTTGCATTTGGCAATGCACACCTGCAGAAGGAAAGCCTCTGGTCATTAAAACAGAGTGACAAGTTCCACTGCGACTCACTACAGATCTGATGCATTTCTTACTGTACTGATCAAGCCCAGGCTATAGATGCACCTAAGAGGCATTCTGTGTTTCCTTGTCCTGAATCCTGCTGCATAAATACCCTCTGCTCTACAGAGCCATTGGTCTTACAGTACTTGAGAACCTGGATCAAAAGTCCCCCTAGAAGTAACAGGCTCCCTGCCTCAGAGGCCTGTATCTAACAACAGAACTCCATCAGGCTCATGGCAGATCTGCCTCCTTCAGTACAACCAACTTGGATCCTTTCTGCAATATGGTGCTCTCAGAAACAGGTCTGAATTGTCTGTAGTTCTAACAGGGCGGCAAGTCCTGCCTCGCACACAGTAGTTACCTGCTTGCTGAAATCCACTGCAGCCTTTTCTGATTCGAACATGATGGACCAGTTTTGTCTCTGATCATCATAGAAGGTACTGTAATTGTTGGGCTGGACCTGTGAAAAAGGAAATCAGTCCTATATTAACATTAAATGATGCATTCAACTGAAATAAATTAAAAAATCCACATCCCAAAAGAAGCTTAAAATAAAAGCTCCTGAAATTAAACAGAGGCAGAATCCTGCTGTGTTACCACCCAAGTTCTGAATGCACAAAATAGCTTTTATTCATGTGCTCATTATCTTGGAAGAGTTATTATAACTCAAATACATGAGGAAATATTAAGTTCATTAGAGATGCTGCAGCTTTCACAAGCTGGTGAAAGTGTTCGCAAGCTTCTCTGCAGCTAGGTCATATAATACATGCTGAGATTTTTAAGTGGAAGCAACCTACTTTTCAAAAGTATTGATTATGTTTAGACTTCCACAATCAACTGGAGCAGTCACTTCGCCCTTGATTCTAAAAACTCTTGCTACCAGAAGCAGACTACAGAACCCAAAATGCACTTATAAAATCGGAAGAGCAAGGTGCCACCCTCAGCAAAAATCTGGACTGAAATTCTACCAGTTCAGAGTAAAATTACTTCTATCAAATCAAGAATTTTCATGTCACCTGATGACAAGCTGGGAGCAGCAAATCAACACACCAATTTTCTGTAAAGCCGGCAGAAAACAGAACATCCGGAGAGATCCCAGTTTAGGACTTGCAATGCTCCAAATTGTTCTCATCAGCAGGAAAATGCCGAGTGTCAGATTTCTGAGAGAAAACATTTCCTTCTGCTTGCTCAGTTGCAAGTTATTAGCAAAAGGAATCGTTCTGTTTCTATTCGCTGTAGGACTGCAAAGCACCTCCTCTATGATCTAGAGGTAATAATACACCTCCCACAGCAGATGAACTTGCATTATGAAATCTACTGCTCTGCAAAAGGCAGATGTAATGATCCCTTGTGCAATACAAAGAGGAGGAGAACAGTGCTCCCAGTCACCAAGACCCCTCTTGCTGTGTCAGATGTCTGATCTCAAAGGCTATAAATTAAGACTTAAGTATTTCAGAGTCAGCTTCTGTTTGCTGTGCATAACATATATCCCTGAACACTTTTCTAAGCCAGAGTCTTACCGTGAACACAAAGCCTGGATGGATCCTTGCAGTTGTGATCTGCTGCTGCTGACTGATGTAAAGGAGGAGCCTGTACTGGATTCCACAAGGAATTGGGCAGGGAAAAAGAACAAAAAGCAGGAACTCAAAACCTCATCTTCAGTTCTCACATGCTTTCTCAAATTCTGAGCCTAAGGCTACAGTATTTATTTACCAAATAGACCCAGCAGCTGCTTTTTCCACAGCAAAAATACCTAATGCAGTATTATAACACCTCTTAAATCCCATGGAAAATGGGCATGGATGATACTAGCTAAATCCATGCACATGGATTAAGCAATCCATGCATGGATCAAGCAATTTAAACTAATTATTTTGCAGTAAGCAAGATGCTTTGACTAATTCTACATTTGTCACAGTTACTGTGTAAAAGGATGGTGCACTAACCCTTCAATACACAGAATTCAATACATGCCATACAGGCATAAGCCAGTGTAACAGATTGAGAAATAAATTGCAGGGAGCTTTCCAAGTGCTAAACAACGCAGATACAGCATCACATTGACATATTTGGCTCTATTAAGTGCTTTCCTTCATGCACCTGCACTCAACACATTAAATTTCTCAGGCATAATTTGTAAAAGATCTTACAAACTTGTTGATCACAGAAAAGAAAGAGGTCACTGAGGCAAATGGCTGAGCCCTAAGAAAGGCCAGGAGGCGGAAGCAGCAGTGGAACCCAGACCTCCAACATCAAAAGCAAAGACATGCCAGTGAGTTCAGAGAAACACTACCCCATAAGAGCATGCTCTCAACATGGAAACGTTGCAGGACTGAAGTGTTCCTCACCTCTTTAGTGGCGTGGTTCCCCACTACAGCTGCTCCATACTTGCCTTGCTTCAAGTACTGCCCATTTGTACTGGAAGGCAAGTGAGATAATCAGCTGTGGAACCATCCCTTCCTCACATTTCTTTCTACTGCTGCTGAGTTTTAATTCTTTAGAGTTCAAGTCTCTTGTCCTCATGCCTCAAGGATCAGAAAGTCTTTCTTAAGCTTAAAAACATTACATGTCTTGCTTGCCCACAGATCACAGGAGCATACATTATGGAGTTTGAGTTGAAAACCACTCTTTCAACCTGGCTCTAGGGCATGATGGCAGTGTCAAATGAACAGAGGATTTTACTGCTGTCACTCTGTGCTCAAAGCCTCAGCTCTGCAGAAAGGAACGTGAGACATAAGCACCTGACAGAGCTGCCTGGAAACAGTGTGAATGTCAGGCTGATGCCTCAGGACGCAGCTCCCTGTAATGGCCAAATAAGAAACTTGCTATTTATTTGACAACTGCATAACCCAGGACAGCAGCGCAGTAACTGAGCTTGGCTTTGCAGAGAAACTTGCACTGATTTGTAGCACTACTGCCATGCAGACCCATGTCTATAACCACAGTCTCATCCTACTCATCCAAAAATATCTTCCCTCTATGATCAGGGCTCCAGCTCCCAGATATGCAGACTAACAGGTCAGGCAGGAAACTGCACTTACTATCGATAAGCAAGAACTGCGGTGGCTGCAAACACAGATGGAGCTCCTGAAGCTGCTGGGGCCACAGAAGCCTTCTGGGCTGCTTGGCCTGCTGAGGAACCAAGAGCAGGGACAGCATCAGCAAGACAGAACAGCCACAATTCCATGCACATTCCTTCCTCCAAAGAAAAACAACTCCAGAAGAAGATTAAAAAAAAACCAAAATGAAAGAGTGATGTTCCAAAGTCACCAAAGGCCATTGAGTAGCCACACATACTAGAGGGTATTATCAAAGAAAACTAAGAGGATTATTTACACAGCTGTCCATAGAATCATAGAATCAAACAGGTTGGAAAAGATCTATAAGCTCACCAAGTACAACTGTTTCCCATCATTGCCAAGGCCACCACTAACCCATAGCACTGAGGGCCTCATCTCCACACTGTGTGAACACTTGCAGGGACGGTGACTGCAGCCCTGCCCTGTGCACCCTGTTCCAATGCCTGAGCACCCTCTGGGGAAGGAATTGTTCCTCAGCTCCATCTAAACCTGCCCTGGGGCAGCTTGAGGCAAGCTTGAGGCTTGTTTCCTCTTGTCCCATCCCTTGTTCCTTGGGAGCAGAGCCCAGCCCCTCCTGGCTCCATCCTCCTGTCAGGCACTTGTAGGCAGCGATCAGGTCCCCCCTGAGCCTTCTCCTCTCCAGATTGACCCCCCCCCAGGTCCCTCAGCCGCTCCCCATCACACTTGTGCTCCAGCCCCTAAACCACCTCCGGTGCCCTTCTCTGGCCCTGCTCCAGCACCTCAATGTCTCTCTTGGAGTGAGGGGCCCAGAGCTGAACACAGGATTCAAGTGTTTCTCACAAAAGGGCCACCAAGGCACGCACTGCCAAGTTATTTCCCCATGTCCAAGCCCAGTTCCTCACCAGCTGCTGTTTGGCTCTTCTTAGGCTGCTTTGGTGCCGTGTACTGGAAGAATTCATTTCCATGGCTTGAGACTGTTTGATCCAAACCAAAGAGAGAGGCTAATCTGGCACTAGAAAGAGAAATAAACTGCTTCACCTTATTTAGCACTGGCTTTATAGAGAACAAACACCATTAATTCTAAGTTGTAAAGTGCTTACCATTACTTCAGAAATAAGCAAAGGGATGCACATGAAACAGTCCTATCCTAATTAACCATTTACTTTTGAATAAGCAGAACTTAAAGAGGCTGGAAGTGGCCTAACTGTGTTTCACTTCCTCAAAAGCTACTGCAGTGAAGAAACAAGGGCTGAAACTACACTAAAAAAGAAAGCAACTTTTAAAGCAATGCCTAGGACTGCCCTTGTATGGAACAGCTGATGGCTCCAGTACTGGAAAAACTATGTGACAATGGAGAAGCCACCATTCCACATGAGAAGTTTTCCTTTTGAAATGCTCAGGGAACACGTTCTCCATTAAATTTTAAAAGAGCAGACGCTCTGCTGTCAGAGGGCAGAGGATTTAATGCTGCAGGTAAACAGGTTATTCTTACAAAACATGTTGGCAGTTTTACTGCTTTAAGCCTGTTTAATCACCTGGTCCTGTGGGACAAGTGAATAACTCAACCTAATCAACAATTCAACACTAATTCAACACTGCCAGGAATGGAGCAGCCACAGCTTCTCTGGGCACCCTGTGCCAGCACCTCAGCACCCTCACAGGGAAGAGCTTCTGCCTAAGAGCTCATCTCAGTCTCCCCTCTGGCAGGTTAAAGCCATTCCCCTCAGCCTGGCCCTACAGGCCCTTGGCCAAAGCCCCTCTCTGGGTTTCCTGCAGCTCCTTCAGGCACTGGAGCTGCTCTCAGGTCTCCCCTTCAGGAGCCTTCTCTTGTCCAGGCTGCCCCAGCCCAGCTCTCTCAGCCTGGCTCCAGAGGAGAGCTGCTCCAGCCCTCGCAGCATCTCCATGGCCTCCTCTAGCCTCGCTCCAACAGCTCCACGTCCCTCTTGTTTTTTTAAAGCATAACTGCCTGCTAAAGGAGAGGACCAGCTCGCAGTGCTTGTCTGGAGCTCCTTGGAGGGCAAGGAACGAGCACAGCTGGAAGCACAACTGTGGAGGAACCTTCCAAGGAACAATAAGCAGGAATCCCGAGTGTGCTGCACACCGAAACGACACCCACGGCCTAGGAGCTGCTGAGGGCGCAGCACCCAGCCCTGCTTAACCCCCGAACCCAGCACCCGCGGGCCCCCACACGCTGAGTGGAAGGAGCCCCTTTCCCCCGCCTGTGCCCCCATGACTGCAGGGGCGGCCCCGCCTCCTCCCACGGGAGCAGCTCACGGTCCCTGGGCAGGGTGCTCAGGCCACGGAGCCCCCCGGCCCGGTCCGCTCCGGCCGCCAGTCCCTTGCCGGAGGTCAGGCTCTGCCTACGCCCATAAGCAAGGCGGGACGGGAGAGGCGGGCACAGAGCCGGTGCTGACTCTCGTAAAGGGAGAACGGCTTCCGCTCCCCCTCTGGTCCCCATCACCCGGTAGAGCAGCCCCGGAGCCAGCAGCAGGGCCTTGCTAACAGCGGGGAGGGCTCCATGGGGCCCCGCGGGCCCGTTCGCCGGGAGGCTCCCCCAGTGCTGCCAGCCCCTGAGGGCAGCGAGAAAGGAGGGATGAGGCAGGCCGCGGGGCCCGCCGCCGCTCACCCGCTGGCGGGGGACAGGAAATCCCCATCGTCTTCCTCCGCCGCCGCCGCCCCGAACATGGTCCCGGTCCCGCCGCCACCGCCCGCGATGTCGTAAACTCGTTGCCCGACAGCGGTGCTTTCCGGCCGCGGAGAGACAGGAGCGCCGCGGGGAGGGGCGGGGAAGGAAAGCGGGAAGAGGAAGGGCCCCAGAAAGGGGCGGGGCTTCCATGGGCTACGTCAAAGGGGGCGGGGCTTCCCGGGCGGGGCGGGGCAGAGCAGTCGGTGCGCGTGGCGGTCGCGTGGTGAGTGACGTGCCGGGGTCACGGTGGTCCCGTGGCCCGATGCCTGAGGGGGCCTCGGGGCGTGGCGGGTGCGGCCTGTGCGGTGCTCGCGGTGCCCGAGGCCTCTGCGGGGCTCCCCGGGGCCGGGGGGCGGCCTTCTCGGCGGAGCGGGTTCGCTGAGGCGCGGGGTGTGGGGGCTGCGGCGGGAGGTGCCCCCGCAGGCCCGGCGCGGCAAGCGGCAGCGGTTGTCCCCAGGGTGAGGGCTGGCCCCGGGCCGCCCTCGCCGCGCCACCCTGCCCCGCAGCGGGCCGGGCCCCCCGGGGCCCCCGCGGGGTGAATGGTGAGGCCAGGGGTGGCCTCACGGCTCTGCCCGCGGGCTCCGTGCGCTCCGTCCGGGCTTGGCTCTCGCGTGGAGTTAGCGAGAGGCGGCAGCTGGTGTGTAACACCTGATCCCTGCCTGTCGGAAGAGTTGAGAGGGTTTTAACACTTGAGTTGCCCCTCGTTAAGTACTTCTCCACCTTTGCCTTGTAGCTTGAGAAATTTGTCTGTTTTGTTTGGTTTTTTCCTCCTGAAAAGCTGATACCTCCCTGTGCTCTGTGGGACCTGCTGCCTGGCGTCACTGTCAGTGTTTCAGAACCAGGTGGTGGTGAAATGCCGCAGAACTGAACGCAGGGAGAGTGAAATGGCAGCGAGGGTTCAGGGGTTTGCTGCCCTTGGGTGTTTTCTGGCACTGCTTGGGAATTTGTAGTAATAGCTCCTTAAAGAACAAGGGGGAATGGCTTTAACCTGCCAGAGGGGAGACTGAGATGAGCTCTTTGGCAGAAGCTCTTCCCTGTGAGGGTGCTGAGGCGCTGGCACAGGGTGCCCAGAGAAACTGTGGCTGCCCCATCCCTGGCAGTGTTCAAGGCCAGGTTGGACACAGGGGCTTGGAGTAAGCTGCTCTAGTGGAAGGTGTCCCTGCCTGTGGCAGAGGTTGGAGCTGGATGAGCTCTAAGGTTCCTGCCAACCCAAACCAGTCTGTGATGGTTGAGTCTGAGCACAAAGTTTCCAGGTCTCTTGTAATGCTGTGTTTGCATCAGTTTGGGGATTTGTTGCAATGAGAATCCAGCACAATTGAGATAGTGATGATTTCACTTGAGTAGGGGGAGTATTAAGTAACTTTTATTGCAGAATGTGTGTTTATGTTGAAATAAAACATGCAGAAGTTCAGAAACCTTATTTCTGTTAAAAGCCCTCAAACCAACTCACGCGCAGGATAGTTATACAGTAATAGACACCTCAAGAGGAGGAACTTTCCATCGAGGGTGTCAGAGCACTGGGACAGGCTGTTGGGGGTGTGTGGAGTCTCCCTCTCTGCAGACATTCAAAACCCACTTGGACTTGTTCCTGTGTAACCTGCTCTGGGTGGCCCTGCCTTGGCAGGGGTTGCACTGGATGATCTCCAACCCTAACGATGCTGGGATTCTGTGATTTGATGTAAATTCTGGATGGGGGCAGGTTCTTCTATATTGTTATGACAGGTAGATATGATCTTCAAATAGAACATGTGGTTCCTGCCTTCCTCAGGTGAAGAGATAGTTGCTTGCTTTGCCTCCTTCCATATTTCGATCAAGTGCGCAGTCAGGATAGGTATTTGAAACAGTGAAGAGCTGTGTGGCCAAGTCCTAGTGCTGCACTTGAGTTTAGGTACTTTAGGTCCAGGTAATGTTATTTTTGTTCCCAGCTTTTCCCCTTAGTACAAAGTTTAACTTGGAAAGCAGGGAAGGATTCCCATCCTGGGGGCAGCGTCTTACCTGGAACCCCACGTGCTTTCCCACACTGAGATTCAGCGCTGGCAAGTCAGGATGTGTGTGAGGTAGAGGGAGCTGGCAGGACATCCTGCAGCCATAGCCAGCATCCCAGCTAAGCCCGGCCTAGGCCACTTGCCCTTCTTAATTCCAGTTTTATTCACACCCCTCCTCTGTGCTGGCGTTTGCAGTGGCTGCATGGCTCCACACAAGTTCCCAGTCGTAGACCAATTTTTCCTGTTCGTGCTCGGATTCCAAGCCTTGGAATGCTTAGTAGTGTGGCATTTTGTGCAAAGGTGATTAAATGCTCTCCAGGTGTTTATTAAATTCACTTTTAACCTGTTTGATCTTCACTTGCCTCTGCTTGAGCCTGAGGTAAATAAAGCTTCTGCAGTGCTTTTCATGAGTGATCTTCTAGTCAGGCTAGTGTTCAGTTCAATGGTCCCGATTCATGGCATTTATGATGTAATATCTCCTGGGGCTTTACTCAAGCTATGGATTACACATCACCTTTTTCCCCTCGTCGGTGAAAAAGGGGTCCTGGAATGTGTCAATATTTCTGTTTAAATGCACGTTGGCTTTGTAAGTGTGGTTGTGTTGGTGAAGCTGACCCTGCACAGAAGCCAAGCGGTACTTTTGGCTCCCAACACCAAACTGTTGCAGTAAGCTGGTTTGTCCTTCCACTCCTGCCCTCCAACCAAAAAAACCCAAGGATTGGAGAGAATACAAACAGCAGTTGAGGAGTTTCAGACTCCTCCACAGCCGAGGACTGGGAATTTTTTATGGCTGTTCTCCACTGAGAACTTGCTGCTTGTTGGTCGTTACAAAGAATTACTTTAATTTCATAGATACTAATCTAGAGCAGCTTTTTAACTAGGCTGGGAATTAGGAGCATTTCTGCCAGTAGAGAGGAGGAATTAAATCAGCTTTCCAGGTCACTTTCACATGTTTGCTGCTTTGTTTTAAAGGAGTATTCATTCCCCCTGCCAAGTGCTCTGAGTTGCAGTGCTGCAAGGACAGAAAGGTTTGTGGTTTCTTCTGTTTTAGACAAGAGGTTTGGGAGGATTCGGCTTTCACTTCCCCCTTTGCAGAGTTGCTTCAAGTTTTGGATTAGTGAGACCCTCTATATGCTTGAGGAGGGAGGGTGTTGGGAATGCTGATCTTTACAGTCTTACTGTACAGAGGAGAAGATTGGCTACATTCACAGAGGGAGTCTGGACTCAGGGCTTAAGGAGCTTCCTTCCAGCTCTCTTGATTTCCAATCATACATTAGGTCAGAGAGAAGACAGAACTTTCTGCTCTTTGAACTAAACTGCACTATTTTCTCCTTTCCTTTCACGGTCTGCATCTGCTGCAAGGACCCCTTTACCCAAAAGGAAACTCCCTGTCCCTGCCGACCTGCCCCTCCATGCTTGGCTGAAGGTCATCTGAAAGGCAGCATTGGCCACAGCAGCACTTGGTGAGGTTCAGCTGGACCAGGCTGCTGCTGTGACCTTCTCCAGAGTCTGCCAGGAAATCCCTGGGAGTCCTGGCAGCTTTTTCTTGGGGAAAGATGAAAAAGATTCAGTCCACTCTGTTGCTTTTCTCTGGCAAATCCACTCTTGGTTAATCTGCTCCATTGTCTTTTGTTTCAGTCTAATTTTCTGGACATGTTCCAAATCAAATCCCTGTGGCTCCAGACCAGTGATTTCTTCAGTAAGTTTTTTTCAGCTGAGAGCTGGAATCTGTTAATGCAGGGAATAATGGGACTAGTTATTGTAAATGAATTAAACTCCAATTTTGCTACTCTGGAAATTAACTTTCTAAAGCCTTTCATCTGTTGGTCCTGGAATAAGACTTCTCTGATTTAGAAGCTAATCTGGAAGTGGGAGGCTGGGATGAAATACCTCCTTTTTGTCCTTCCTTCTGTTTCTACAATCTTTAATGTCATCTTCCCAGCGTAATTTTTCCCAACATCTTTTCTTCCCTGTGTCTCACCAGTTCATACCTGCCAGGGCCCTGTTGGTTCCTGTGCCTGCTGGCTGGAGCAACTGCTTTTCTTTTTGCTCTTTTCACCTTGCACATATATAATGTTAGAAAGTGCCACAGTTGGACCACAGATGCGAATGTCATTTATAATCAGTTTAAAAAGTTGTACCTGTATATAATCTGTTCAATATAATCTATAAACATACATAATCTATAACATGTATGTAATCTCTACTGTGTATCTAAATTAATATAGCTGACTGTGGCAGCTCTGCATCACAGGCCAAGATGTTGTAAGGGACTGAACATTTCCTATTCTTATTGATGCTCGTGTTCCTGCTACAGGTTTGGTTGTGCTTGTAAAGCCATTTTTGTGCTGCTTTCTTCATAGGAGGCATAGAGCAGTGCCTGTAGGATATCCTGCTGTATGGATGGCAAAGCCTCATCCATTTTATTCTGGTTTGCCTCTTTGGTAAGAAGTAGTTTATAGTAGTTTAAAACACCTTTTGGCAGCAGCACAACTTCCCTTAATTTGCTGAATTCCCTCCAGTACATCATGATAGCAGGATCATGTGCACTGCTTTCATACTCTTGCTTTTGATCTTGCTTGAAACCAGTACCCTCAATGAAGACCTGTGCATTGCAGAGCACAGTGCAGCCTTACTCCTTGCACTACTTCTCCTCTGTCACATTTTCTCTTCCACCACAGTTGCTGACGCCAGCTTTGGGATCAGGAGGTTAGGGAGTCAGCTGCCCTGACAGGGCTTGTCTTGTACACACTGTTGAATTCCTGCACGATCTATTGTACATCACCTGCTACTATCACCCATCACCTTTTCCTGGTTGCTGTTGTTGGTTTGCTGCCTGTCCCTGCCCTAGGAGAAGGGTCTGGGCACTACTGCAGCCTCTCCCTTCAGCAGCTCCAAGTGAAGGCATTGGCCACCACCAAGGCAGATGGTGCAGACCCCCCCTGGAGCTGCAGCCTTTGCTTTCCAGTAAGTGCCCACCCTAATCCCTGAGGGTCAGGTAGAATGAGTGCCCTGACCTGTGCAGATGGCCTGTGGAATGTCCCTCTGAAGAGGCACCCTCCCTGCACACCCTTC